CTCCTGGTGATTGGCCCAAAGTTACCATCCGCCTTTCGTGCCTAAGACGGGACTAGAATTCACAGTTCCTGGGTGGTTAGCCCGAAGTCACCAATTGCCTTTCATGCCGAAGGCAGGACTAGAACTCACAGTCTCCTGGTAATTGGCCCAAAATCACCATCTGCCTGTCATGCCTAAAGCAGGACTAGAACTCACAGTCTCCTGGTGATTGGCCCAAATCAAGCGGCCGAGTTTGAGGTATACTGATTTAAAACGTGCATAGAGATAGAATGGGCAGAGAAGGCCTTAAACCTCGACTTTCCTTAAGAGTTGCATTTTACATGATTTTGGTTTGTGGCAGAAAACTGCATATATATATTTTTTGTTCTCTTGCTCTTTTTTGTCAGGGAGTGGAAATCTCGACGGGACGTACACATTCTGGAGAACGGCTCAAAAGTGTCCTCTTTTCAGCCAAGCACTTACTATTTTGAGCGAGAGCTCTCCGTGGGTGATCCAGAAGTGGATCGGATCCGGACAGTAAACTTGCCCGCGGTGGTAAGTCTTGAAATTTACTGGGTACCCAACGACAACAACTTTGTGTGATCTATTGCAGGGATCTCCAACCTTGGCAACGTTAAGACTTGTGGATTTCAACTCCCAAAGCAAAGCTGGCTGAGGAACTCTGGGAGTTGAAGTCCACAAGTCTTAACGTTGCCAAGGTTGGAGACCCCTGATCTATTGGGTTTGATTCTGGGCTAAATGAGGACCCTTGTTCTGTAGGATCCCGCAGTATTTCATTAACATCTGGATCTGTCTGAAGAGCTGAGCTTATTGATTCAAAACTCTGCTCTGGTGTGTTTGAAATTGGAATAAAAATGGTTTGTAATTTGTGTCCCTCAAAGCTGTAGAGGGCCTTTTTCTAAGTAGAAAAAGAGAGAAAAAGGGGTGGACTTATTCACCAGGGGACAAGAAGTAACGTGTGGAAGCTCATTCAAGACACAAGTCCTACCTGGGGCTGAGGAGAAATTTCCTAACAGTGAGAATAGTTCATCAGTGGGACGGCTTGCCACAAGAAGTTGTGGGTGCCTCATCACTGGAGGTTTTTAAGAAGAGATTGGACAGCCATTTATCTGAAATAGTATAGGGTCTCCTGCTTGAACAAGAGGTTGGACTGGATGACCTCCAAGTCTCTTCCAACTCTTAAGTAGCAAGAGCACATAGACAGTTCTTGTAATGCCCTTGCCTCCTGAAATCATCCCCCCCCCCCCTGTTTCCAGCTTTAGAAATTCAGCATCTTTGTTAGTGGGTTTCCAGAGGCGGCGTTGAGGTATTATACAGATAGTCCTGGTCAGAATTCGGGTGCTTGGCAACTGACTCATATTTATGATGGTTGCAGTGTCCCCGGGGGGCTATGTGATCGGCTTTCGCGAACCTCTGACCAGCAAAGTCAATGGGGAAGCCAGATTCACTTTACAACCGTGTTACTCGCTGAACAGCGGCAGTGATTCGCTTAACCGCCATGGCAAGGAAGCTCGTAAAAATGAGGCAAAATTCAATTTTTTACATCTAGCTTAGCAATAGAAATTGTGGGCTCAATTGTAGTGGTAAAGAATAGAGTAGAATAGAAATAGAAATACTGTAGAAATAGAAATAGAATAGTTGGAAGGGACCTTGGAGGTCTCCTAGTCCAACCTCCAGGCAGGAAACTATACCATTTCAGACAAATGGCTGTCCAATCTCTTCTTAAAAACTGCCAGTGTTGGAGCATTTACAACTTCTGGAGGCAAGCAGTTCCACTGGTTAATTGTTCTAATTGTCAGGACATTTCTCCTTAGTTCTAGGTTGCTTCTCTCCTTGACTATCTGTAGATGTTCTGCCAATTGCTACAAGCTGCATCCTTGGACTGACCTTGAATGATTAGGTGATAAGGATTGGCCGGAAGGAGAATCTTGTAGTTGAAGGCTCCTAGGGGGAAAAAACCCCAACCAATTCTGTGATTGGTTGGCATCATTTGAAAATGAATCAAAATGAAAGAATGCAATTACATTTGAAGCCACTCAATGAGGTCAACATCTTCGCTCCAATTCTAAAGTTAGTGTGATGACCCAGGGGGTGACACAAAAGCAACAAAGTCACAAAAATACCTCCAACTTGGCCCCCGATGTACAGTTATCATTGGCTGGAGAAAAAACTCTCCCAAAAACAGTTTTCAAAGGGAAGAAATTCCGTCTGAACTCAAAGTAGATATAAATTATAAATAAAAACCAACACAAACCACACTGCAGCAATTAACGAGACAGGGCAGGATAAGGGATTGAAGACATCAAAAGAAAACGAACCACACACACTTGGGAGGACGGCAGAACTCAGGGCCCTTTCCTCCCCCGTAAACCACGCAACTCGTCAAAAGATAACGAACCACACACACTTGGGAGGACGCCAGAACTCAGATAAGACTTGACAAACCAGAATAATTTCACGCTTTGCTTCCAGCAACTTTTAAAAGCGCAGTTTGCCCTTCTAAACAGTCTTCCCAGCTGCAGCCAATGAAGGGGATCAGGGTCCTTTCCTCCCCCGTAAACCATGCAACTCACGTTGCTCCCTTCTCCATTCCTCCCTGCGTGCCCTAGGATGAAGAGGGGGTGACCCTGGGTCTTCCTCTGAATGCCCAGCCGGTCTGTGCCCTTCCCCAGTTTCCTCCACAGCCACCGGAGCCACACTCTCACTCCCTGTCAGCTGTTCCATCTCTCCCTTGGAATCAGATTCCAACAGGGGCATGACAGCTTGCTTCTCTTGATGTGAACTGTAACTTTTAAAACTGTGGCTAATGGGTACTTTTTTAACCCTTATAACTTCCGTTCTGTCCATCAAGTACATTTTTTGTGTTTTTATTGAATACCTGATAAATACAGGTAGACATTCGCTTTTGACCGCCATTAAGCCCGAAAGTTCTGTTCTGAAGCAGGACAGTTGTGAAGTGAGTTTTACGACCTTCCTTGCCAAAGTCGTTAAGTGAAGCACTGCAGTGGTTAGTGGTGGTTAAGTGAATCTGGCTTCCCCATTGACTCTGCTGGGCAGAAGGTCACAAAATGGGATCCCATGATCCCAGGTACACTGCAACTGTCATAAATATGAACCAGTTCCCAAGCGTCCAGAATTTCACCAGGTGAATGTGGAAATTTTGACCGCGTGAACATGTGGAAAATGTCCATAAGTCGCTTTTTTTTCCGGCGCCTTTTGCAACTTCAGTCACTAAATGAACAATTGTAAGTTGGGGTCTACCAGTAACCAATAAATACCTCTTGTTGCAGATCACAATTTCATGATAATATATGTCTTAACGTCTCTTTTTTTTTTCTTCCTTACTATCAGACGGCAATGAATATGGCTCGGAATTCGCCTTTCCGTTTTCCTGCAGAGCTGTTGTTGCTGGCTTACCAAGAAGACATGTTCACCATTCATACAGTTGAAGAGATTTTATGGGGGTACACGGATAAGTTTCTGCAGGCGATACACAAATTTTTACCCGGCGTCGATCCGGTTTTTGGCTATTTTAAACAGGTAACATTTTTGTCGCCGAGGGTAGATGGGCTGCCCTTCTCGTGTCTTTGCTTTTAGTTGATGCACGTTTTCCTGCACCCGCGGTTTGCTTGCTTGCCGCTTGTGCAGCCCGTTTTTCCTTCTGTTATGGCCCGCCAGCGGCCAGCAGAACTGGCAGCAGATTCGGACAGTGAGGAGGTTGGGGAGTCTGATGAGTGTTCTGCGTCGGAGGCAGAGATAGGGCCACGGCCCTCTGACAGTTATCAGCTGCCTTCAGAGTTGGACATCAGTGAGGCAGAAGAACAGCTGGAGCCTGTTCCCAGTGTGTGTGTATGCACAGAGCTACCCGAAGAAGGGAACACTTAAAGAACAAGGGTCAACTTGGGAGTAAAAGCACAAGTGGACAGTGAATGGCCCCTCCCATAGGGAATCAACAGCGAAAGGGTAGTGGGGTTTTGCAGGAAACAATTAGTTCATTTGGGTGAACATCTGTTCCTGCATTCTTGCCAAGTATGGCCTGCTACAGTGTGGCCTCTGAAAGATATTGGCTTGGCAACTCTCCAAGCCTGATAAAGGTCTATAATTGTGAAATATCTTGAAAGGCTGTTGGCTGGGACTTTGCTGGAGTGGAATTCGCTGTAAACTAAATAAAAGGAGTTTATTGGGGCAAGGAGTCAGCTTCGTGCTTTTGGGGAAGTTTAGGTCAGAGAGTATGGAAATGCTTATCTAGGCAGTCTTGTGTGCTCCTGATGAATATTGCATGAGGTTTGTTACCCCTGCTGTTTTTTAAACAGGGCAGTGATTAAAATATGCTGCGCTTGTCCAGTATCCTATAGACTCCAATATCTCCTGGGTGTTCTGCTTATTAGCATCTCATTATGGCTCCCTGACTCTTTTAAATGAGATTAACAGCTGCCCTTTCAGACAGCTGATTGCCATTGTCTTTTTTTCTTTATATATATGAGGGCAGAAAAAAGGTAATTGACAGCTTGCCAGTCTCTTTTCAGCACAGGGTATATTGTGGGGAAGCAAAATAAAGAGATGCATTAGACTTCAAGGAAGTTTATGACAGTTTTAAGGGTTGTTTTTTTTAAAAAAAAGAGGAAAAATAGTCTTGAGGCCCAGTTCTGTGACAAGTCAGACCAGCCACTTGATAGCAATAGGAATAGCACTTAGACTTACATACTACTTTATTGTGCTTTACAGCCCTCTAAGCAGTTTACAGAGTCAGCCTATTGCCCCCCACAATCTGGGTCCTCATTTTACCCACCTCGGAAGGATGGAAGGCTGAGTCAACCTTGAGCCTGGTGAGATTCGAACTGCCAAATTGCAGGCAGCAGGCATAGCCTGCAGTACTGCACTCTAACCACTGTGCCACCGTGGCTCTTGGGCTCCATAACACTCTGGAGTCCCCAGACTCTTTGGCCGAACCATGACCTCAGGGCCTGGTGAAAGAAAGTCAAAGTGAGGGCCAATCTTATCTCCTCAGGGATGTCGTTTCAAAGAGAGGGAGCCACTACAGAGGAGGCCCTTCTTCTTGGTCCCGCTAGATGGGCCTCCATAAGAGATGGGACTCATAACATTCCCTGCCTCCTCGCTCTGATGGGTCAGGTAGATATAACCAGGAAGAGGCAGTCCTTCATATAACTTGGTTCCAAGCCATGTAGAACTTTGGAGGTGACAGCCAACCACCCAAATTGGTCCAAGAAGCAAAATATATGGGGGAGGGGGGTCCCTGCTACTCCCTCCAGCATCACATGGTGGTCTTAGTTTCCTTCTTCACCCAGGCAAAGGTGCTTACCAATAAATCATTTGCTTGGAGTTCCCCAGCTTTAGATAAGCTAGAATTGTCTGGAATCATTGTGTGAGAATACAGATTGTGCTCCAGGTTGATTGTTTATTTGACAGGCTGCAAGTTTTCCCTTTTTTTAAAACAAAAGTTAATTTTAAAAAAACAGCACAAGAAGAATGGTTCTATATTGGCGCCCGTCTGTGGAGGATTCCGAATGTTAATATATTTGCTCCTCCTTATAATAGGAAGAGGCATCAAATAAAGGCTTGGGATGTAGAAGAAGAGCTGGCAGAACTAGAGGGTGGAGTAAAACGTGTCATCAGTTTAGAGCCCTTTCCAAAACCAGCCCTCCTTGAATTTCATTGGCCCTTATCCAGCGCCAATTTAGTGCTGACCATTTAGTTGGCCAGATTCTTGTATATAGGCTTGAGTGGTGTGGTGGCCTAAAGGTGGAGCTCTCGCCTCACGATCAGGAGGCGGGGAGATTGATCCTAGGTAGAGGCAGATATTTCTCTCTCTGGGCACACTGAGAATATATCTGGGGGAAAAAAAACCTCTGCATTGGCGATAGGAAGAGCATCCAGCCATTAAAACACTCAGCTCCATTCAGTTGCCCCGTCTCCACCCCGCAAGGAATTATGGGGTCATTCAAAGAGGATGATGATGATGATTCTTGTATATAGGCTTCAATAAATCATTGATGCTGCCACCTACAGGAATTATCCTGATTGTTTGTGTCTGATATGTGTATACTTTATTCCCATTTGGAAAAGCTGCCTGAAAGTAAAAATCCTTTCTTGCTGTTTTTTTCCCCCTATATAGATGAATGCAACAGATGATGGTGAATATGTCATGTTATCTGGAGAAAAGAACTACCTGGACTTCACAAGAGTAATTGAATGGAATGGCAAAGAGTAATGTTTGTTCCTTCTTTTTTTCTTCTCCACTGGTGCTTTTTTATCTCTGTGGCAGTGCACATTGTAATGTTCACCTTATATTTTAACTCATTCATTTGATTTTTATCCCGCCTTCATTATTGTTTTTTAATAACTCAAGGGGGAGAACATCCCTAATACTCCTTCCTTCTCCTAATTTTCTCAACAACAACCATCCTGTGAGGTGGGTTGGGCTGAGGAGAGTGACTGGCCCAAAGTTAGCTCACCATTTTTCATGCCTAAGGCAGGACTGGAACTCACCATCTCCTAGTGATTGGCCCAAAGTCACCCAGCCAGCTTACTTGCCTGAGGCAAAAGTAGAACTCACAGTCTCCTGGTGATTGGCCCAAAGTCACCCGGCTGGATTTCATGCCTAAGGCAGAACTAGAACTCACTGCCTCTTGGTGATTGGCCCAAAGTCACCCAGCTGGCTTTCGTGCTTTAAAGTGGAACTAAAAACTCACTGTCCCCTGGTTTCTAGGCCCAGCCCTATAACCCATAGATCAAACCCCCTATTGTAAAAATGATCCATTAGATCCAGTGGATTTCCCTATCCTTCTCAAAAAATTCTTAATAGTTTGCATTAAAAAAAAAGGTTTTGGATACTGCCGTTCAGTCTCCATGGGCTAAACTTCCCTTCTTCAGACTCAATCTTGATAAAAATTTAAGAATTATTTCTTCCTCGGTGTCTCTGATTAAGTACAGAAAAAGTAGGGGGGATGCTTCAAGGAACATCGCCTCTATCTTTTGGCCAGTTGAGTTTCAGGAAAACCCATTAAGAAAGAAGGCGGCTTGGGAAAGAATTTATTCTGGGTGGGTTTGTGTTAGGGATTGCCTGTGTTTATTTTCCTTATCTTGAAAAACTCAAGTCCGTAATTAGACTTTGCTTTCACAAGATGTTGCCTGGGGTTGTTTTGAAAGAGGTGGAGAAATACCAGATCCTGGGTGAAAGAGGCCTTTTGATCTTCGACCCAGCAGGATTTCTCTTTTATGTCTAAAACTAATTCTTGATTCCTTCTGATCTCTTCTCCTGATAGCAAGCTAGACTGGTGGACAACACCCAGCAGTAACATGATCAACGGAACCGATGGAGGGACGTTCCACTCACTGATCAACAAAGATGAAATGATCTATATCTTCTCTACAGACTTCTGCAGGTAAGAACAACGGGAAGCATTGGCTGGAATTCAAGACTGAATCATAGCTTTGGCCTGTTGACTCATCTTGGATTGTTTGTGGTCTGCTTGAACTCTCAGTGTCATATTTCCCATTACAATAAAAGGTTTTTCCCACCTCGGTCTGGGGTAGTCCTCAACTTACAATAGTTTGTTTAGTGACCGTTCACGGCACAGAAGAAGGTGACTTAACGATCATTTTTCACGCTTGTGACTGTTGCAGCATTCCCATGGTCCAGGGATCAAAATTCAGATGTTGGGTGACCCAACTCATGTTTATGACATTTTGCAGTGTCCCGGGGGTCATGGGATCCTTTTTTGTGACCTTCTGACAAGGAAAGTCAGTGGGGAAGCCAGATTCACTTAACAACGGTGTTACTAATACTGAACCGCAGCGATTCACTTAACAAATGTGGCAAGAAAGGTTGTAAAATGGGGCAAAACTCACTTAACAAGTGTTTCACTTAGCAACAGCAATTTTGGGCTCAATTGTGGTCATAAGTTGAGGACTACCTGTATTGTGTCTAGTGAACACAGCCATTGTGGTATCAATAGAAGAGAATATTTGTTACTTAGGGTTGAACTGTGGCATCCTTGATACTCTCTAAGCTTGGTGGTTTTCTTGCTGATGTTCCATTATGAACAGGCAGAAAACTAGAAGTGTGCATCCATGAACCCCAACTAACAGTCAAAGACATGATACAGACTTCTTAATTTCACAAAATATGGACAGACTTAACCATAGTTTCAGCTGGGAAACTTTGAGCATCCTAAACAAAGCCAAATGCAAAAACACCAGAGAATTCCTGGAAGCCCAGCATTCAGAGAAATCGGCCATCAACAGACACACACAGATAAACAACATTTACATACCACTCAAAAGAGACAATCAAATAATCCTAAATGAAACAAACAGACCCCAAACCCCTCCTCACTGGCAGCCAACACCCACATGAGCAGAAATTCAAACCAAGATTAACACTAGACTAACAATAAAAAAATACCCCAGTGAAGAAACTACCAATGCAGAGAAACAAGCTCACAGCAAGCCATTCCCAGGGCAAGCCACTAGCGTATAAAAATAAGAGCAAATCCACCCCCTTTTAGCATTGATGATGATACCTAGTTTCTTAGTGCAACATCTGCAAGAAAGCCACCAAGCTCAGAAAACACCGAGGACCCCTCAGTGCTTGTGGCTTGTAAAACATGACATAAACACTTAGGGGGCTCTGGAGCCGCATGCAGCTCTTTGGGCCCTCTGCTGTGGCTCCCTGCTGGGTGATCCCACCACTGGCTGGCCCTGCCCCTTGCCCTCCCAGTCACTCCTCACCTGTCCTGAGAAGGTAAAACACAAAAAAACAGAAATGAGAGGGAGGGAGGGAGAGAGAGACCCACCTCCCACAGAAAACACCCAGAGCCACAAAAACCAGGTAGGCGTGGCTGGGGCAGGTCATGTGACTGGGTGGGAGTGACGTTGGGTTGACCACGCCGATCCAAGTTTTGTGGCTCTCGGTGTTTTCTTTTCTGTGGGAAACAGGTCCAAATGGTTCTTTGAGTGTTTAAGGTTGCCCTGATTAAGGGCATGGCATGCACGCAAGCGAAAACAACCTGCATACGGTGTCAACCTGGGTTATCTCTGGAAATGTACGTGCCTTAACCAAAGCGGACTCTTTATATTATTTTGTTCTTTTCCAGATCCATATATCTAACCTTCGAGGAAGAGTTAACCGTTTTGGGAATTCCAACGTACCGGTTTACACCTCCTTTGAAAATCTTTGCCAATGTCTCGGTTAATCCAGACAATGCTGGATTCTGTGTCCCTGCCGGACACTGTATGGGGTCTGGAATCCTAAATGTCACAGGTTGCAAACAAGGTGAGTCAGTCACAAACCAGAAGGAGTCGAGTACCCGTCTCTATAGGTCCTTTTAACAGGTACTGCTCACTTACGAGAGGGATACGGTGGCTCAGTGGCTAAGATGCTGAGCCTGTCGATCAGAAAGGTCGGCAGTTCGAATCCCTAGCGCCGCGTAACGGAGTGAGCTCCCCTTACTTGTCCCAGCTTCTGCCAATCTTAGCAGTTCGAAAGCATGTAAAAAATGCAAGTAGAAAAATAGGGACCCCTTTGGTGGGAAGGTAACAGTGTTCCGTGTGCCTTCGGTGTTTAGTCATGCCGGCCACATGACTATGGAGACGTCTTCGGACAGCGCTGGCTCTTACTTGGCTTTGTAACGGAGATGAGCACACTGCCCCCTAGAGCCGGAAATGACTAGCACATATGTACGAAGGGAACCTTTATCTTTACCTTACCTCAATTTATAACCACAACGGAGCCCAGAAGTTTCCTCATATGTCATGAAGGTTGTAAGTCAAGGCAACCACATGACTGACCCAATGCTGTGTCAATTTTTGCAGCTCTCATTAAATAAACACCGTGGTCATGAAGTGGACACGATGGACTTTTTTTCCCCGCTGGAAATCACAAGCAAATGCTGGTTTCTGACCAAAAAAACGCCCCTGTAGTCACATGACTGAGGGATGCTGCAAATGGCCGTAAATGCAGACTGGTTGCTGAACACGCAAAACGCAATCCTGTGACCACGGCTGGGGGAGGGCATCAGAATTTTGAATCCAGATCATAAGTATATATTGTTATATACTTATAACAATATTGTTTTATTACAGTTACACTGCATATTGTTTTATTTAACTATAGTTATATTGTTCAGTTTTGACATAGATAGCCTCTTTGACCCCCTCTTTCAAACCAGTGGTCTTCTCTGTCCAAACTGTGGACAGAGAACATCAAAATTGAACAGCCCTCCACACCCATTTGTACCACTCAAGTGACCCTGAGGACATAGATAAATCTCCAAGTGGCCTCAATGACTCTAAAAAGGATGCAAATGACCAGCTGTCTGCAAGGAGTATCAATCCTTCCATTCCACACCATCCTAGCAGAGCTGAAGAAGCTTCTTGGATGAGAAGCGAAATGTCTTCAAAGAAAAAACCAGAAAGTCCAGTTGCCTCTTGAAAAAAGGCACCTTTGGGACAACCATGACCTGGATGACCGAGAATCTCCATAGACAGTGCTCTATAATTGCCAGTATTACAGAATTTTTGATAGCAATCGGTTTCTGAGTTTTAACAGATGGATGAATGAGCACGATAACATGAATTGACAACATGTTGCATTTGAAAAAAGATTCTGAAATCTGGTCGTGTGATGACCTGAGGCGTGACACAAAAATAACAAAGTCACAAATAGAATAAATTCCCTTTAATGCCTCCAACTTGGCCCCCAATGTGCAATTATCCTCGGCTGGAGATCAAACCCTTCAAAAAACAGTCTATGAAGGGCAGAAATGCAGTCCAACCCAAAGTAAAGATAATTCAAAATAAAAAAAACTAACACAAACCACACTGAAGTAATTAACACAGCAGGGCAGGATGATAAATTGCAGACTTCCAAAGGATAACGCAGCAACCACAGTTGGGAGGACACCAAAACCCAGATAAGCCTCGACAAAGATAATATACTCTTTGCTTCCAGCAAGGTGCTGTGTGCAAATGCCCTTCTTATATCCTGTTCCTTCAGCTGCAACTAATGAAAGTGTTCAGGGCCCTTTCCTCTCCCGTAAGCCATGTTGCTCCCTTCTCCATTCCTCCCTCTGTGTCCTAGGATGAAGAGGGGATGGCCCTGGGTCTTCCTCTGAATGGCCAGCCGGATTGTGCCCTTCCCCCGTTTCTTCCACAGCCACCGGAGCCACACTCCCATTCCCTGTCAGCTGCTCAATCTCCCCCTCAGAATCAGACTCCAACAAGGGCATGACGTGTACAGGAGGTATTTTAAAATACATGGATACATGATAATTCCTTATTCGTTCATTTTTCACCGTTTTGTTACTGTTGCTGTTGTTACAGGGGCCCCGATATTCTTATCGCTCCCCCATTTCTTTCATGCTGAGGAGAAGTACGTCAAGTCGGTGGACGGCATGCACCCAAATAAACAGAACCACGACACGTTTCTTGATATTAATCCAGTAAGTCTCTTTGTTTTGGTGAACCTCAAAATCATCTACAGGTAGTCCTCTACCTACGGCCGCAATTGAGCCCAACATTTCTGTTGCTGAGCAAGATGGTGGTTAAGTGAGCTTTGCCCTGTTTTATGACCTTTCTCGCCAAGGTTGTTAATCACTGCAGTTGTTATGTTAATAATATGGTTCTTTCAGTGAATCTGGCTTTCTCGTTGACTTTGCTGGTCAAAAGGTCGCAAAAGGGGATCACAGGACCCTGGCAGCCATCATAAATCGGAGTCAGTTGCAAAGCATCTAAATTTTGATCATGTGACCACAGGGATGTCACAACAGTCATAAGTGTGAAAAATGGTTCTCAGTGCCTTTTTTCAGCACCGTTGTAACTTTGAACGGTCACTAAACAAACTGTTGTAAGTCAAGGACTACCTGTATTTCATTGGTTGCATGCTCATAGAGTACTAAGTCAAGCTTTTTTTAAAAAAAAAGTATGAGCAACATCCTGGTTTCTATGTAATGCAAATTTTGACAGTGGTGGGATTCAAAAATTTTTACTACTGGTTCTGTGGGCGTAGCTTGGTGGTTGTGGTGTGGCTTGGTGGGCATGGCTTGGTGGGCATGGCAGGGGAAGGTTATCCCCATTCCCTCCCCACTCCTGGGGGAAGGTTATTGCAAAACCCCATTCTCTCCCCACCCCACTAACCTGCTTTCCAGCTCCGTTCTCCTATGCAGGGCAACCAAAGACGATCCAGCCAATCAGCTGGGACTCAGGAGGCAGAGAATAGATGGGGTTGGTGGGGCCAGTCAGAGGTGGTATTTGCCGGTTGTCTGAACGACTCAAAATTTCATCTACTGGTTCTCCAGAACTGGCCAGAACCTGCTGAAGACCACCTCTGATGCAAAAACTCTGCGTAGTGGGTCACAGAATCTGGTTTCGGAGTTTTATTTTGTGATGGTTCTTTTGTGAGTTCATGGCTTTGATGGTCCTTCCCAGCTCTGTTCATTCTCTGCATTTGGTCATGGTGGCTTTGGAAATGCCTGACTCATCTGATTAGTATATGATTGTTAATGGAATTTGGAAAGGACTAATGAAGTTGGAAAGTCAGGCCAGCCTCCTATTAGTGAATTAGGAATTCAAATTAAAGTCTCCCAGGCACATGAATAAACAAATGAAGGAGAAAGAGAATCCAGCATTTCCCCTGAGTCATTCGCTCCAAGCTTAAACTATATTGACTGCTAGGAAGTTGTTCCAAAGCTCAGTTGGAATTTGCCTGGCCTGTAACTTAAATCCACATTTCTGTGTCTTGTACTCTGGAACGAGAAGAGAACACATATTGGCTGCCTTCTTTGCGATATCCTTTTAGGTATTTAAAGAATGCATCCATTCCTTCTCAGTTGTCTTTTATTTTTTCACAACTAAACACATCCATCTTTTGTCACTTTTCACATCTAGTTTTTATTTTCTGACCCCCCTCTTAAAGGGTCGTGCTCACAAGTTGATAAAATATGAAGATGGGACTTGTACAATAACAAAATCCTGGAAGCCAAATCACCCATCAACAGACACAGAGATACACAACTTCTGCATACCATTCAAAAGAGACCATCAAAAAGCTAAAAAGGAAACCAAAAAAATCACCTCGTTAGCAATTAACAGCCAGATCAGCAAAGATTTAACACAAAGGTTAATACTAGACCGCTGTAAACAATAAGTTAGTCACCTGGTTGATAAGGAAACCTGGCCTCCCGATGGACATTGCTTGTCGGAAACTCGCAAAAGGTGGATCGCATGACCTTGGGACACAGCGACGGTCGTAAGTAGGAAGCAGCTGCCAAGTGTCTGAATTTGGATCAGGTGATCATGGGGATGCTGCAAAGGTGTTAATTTTGAAAAACGGACATAAGTCTTTCATTGTTCAATGTTGTTGTAACACTTTGAACTGTCACTAAACGATTGGTGGTAAGTCGACGACTACCTGCACTAGATTTGCACTGGATTGGTAGAGTGAATGTGGCTGAAACAATACGTTTGATTTTGAAGTGAAAGCACACTTCTTTTTCCCTTTCAGCTGACAGGAGTTTTGGTGCGAGCGAACAAACGAATGCAAATCAATGTTTATGTTGAAACGATACCTGGATTTATGTAAGTATTCTGTGGAGAACCTGGCTGGTGGAGTGTGTATATGTGTGTGTGTGTGTGTGTGTGTATATATTTCATTCATTTATTCAATCCATTAAGCAGGAGAATAATGCATGTACAAATGGAACGATAACGTATGTATAAATCAAAGGAATCGTATACATGCAAATCATGCATTGATATATTTAAGCAGCGAGAAAGATATTCAGCAGAAAAACCAGCTTATGAAATAGACAGACAATTTAGATTACAGCATCTCTCCTTACGGTCTGAGCTCAGCAAAACGGGCAGCCAAAATCAAAAAAGTATGTATGAAAAAATAATTTCAGTAAAGGGCCGGCCTGGAAATAGCAAAGGACCGGCCTGCGTTGCTTCTGGCAGCCAAAATGGAGCCTGGCGGGGGGGGGCGCGTGCATGGCCCCCTCCACCCTGTATGCACCAGGATGGCCTCCTGCAATATTCTACCACCCCAAACAGCAAAGTGCTGTAGGAGGCTGTCTAGGCCGAAAACAGGCCGCAGAGGGGCTGTGTGTGTGCCCCCCCCCCATTTTGGCCAGCAAAGTGCTACAGGAGGTGTCTTCCCCACTCCCCCAGCCTGAGGAGAAGAACTACGGTGCTGATCCGGCCCTCAAAGAAATCCAGTTTGACACCTGTGAATAAGATGGTCAAATTGGATTTGAGGCTGCGGGGGGGGGGGGGGGGATTTGTCCACCAGATAAGTCAGTAGTCTGCAGCCTCAGCCACTTTTAAGATGGTTCACTAGATTTAAACTCCATCTCTGAGGAAAAATACATTTAAAATGGGGGCTGGAAATCTCAACCTCACCCTCTCTGGAAATATTCTAGCATTATGTTCCATTTCATGGGGGCGCTAAGGGGACAACGGGATGGGGTAGGGCCTTGCTATAAAGAGACAGGCCCGAGATTTGCCTCCGGTCTGCACTCCAAACAGGTTCATGCTTGCGTGACTACAAGTAGGCCTCATTTAATGACTGTCTTGTTTAACAGCTATCCACAGTTAATGATGGTGATGGAAAATAAATTTTTCCACCAATCCTCACTTCGCCAAGCTTGCTAGGGGTCTGGAGGCTAAAACATCGGATGAACGGTTGCAGGAACAGGATATGTCCAGTCTAATGAAGAGAAGGACAAGGGGATGACATGATGGCAGTCTTCCAGTAATTTAAGGGGCTGTCCCAGAGAAGAGGCGGTCAGTGTATTCTCCTAAGCACAAGAAGTAACAGATGGAAGTTTAACAAAGAGACGTCCAACCTAGAATTGAGGAGAAATTCCCTGATAGTGAGAATAATTAATCAGTGGAACTAATTGTCTTCAGAAGTTATGGGTGCTCCATCGATGGAGGCTTTTAAGAAGAGATTGGACAACTAATTGTCCTTGATCAGGAGGTTGGACTAGACTTACAAGATCTCTTCCAATTCTGTTATAATGCAAAGGAAAGCTGAAGTACAGTTACCAACACAATTGCAGTTTCCTTAGCAACCGCTTCACTTAACAACTGGATTGCCTATTTCAATTGTGGTCTCTCGACAAGGATGTATCCCATTTCCCTGAGCGTATTTCAAGTTACACGTACACAACAATACATTAACAGTGTGGCATCAATATAGCATACATTTAGTATAGGCCAACTTAATACCAACCATATCTCTTAATACACATATTCACATTAAATCATAATCCTTCATTGCTTATTTTCAACATTTCAATACTCTCTCCTAATGCCAACCACCATATCAATTAAACATACCTAGTAATTTCATTATTCAATTTCCTCCCCAATTTTTTTAAATGAGAAATTTTCATTTGGCAAGCAATATGGTTCCAGGTTTCACATCTCAATACAAACATGACCATAGTTACCCATTCATTTTATGTATTCAGTTTCATGTCACGTTATCCTTATTAGTATTAAATATTAAACTTATCCAATTCCAATTCATGTTATAACTTATTTCATTTTCCATCATGTAACTGTTGAAGAAGGATCATCCTCTTGAGAATCACTAGAAAACTCTCCGGTTTTCTCTATATTTTTGTCTCATTTCAGCCAAACAGGGAATATCAAGACAATGCCCTATCCAGTGATGTTTGTAAATGAGGTAGGTACTGATGAAACATCCTCACCTTCACCCCTGGTATCATAAGGAAATTCTATGAATCTGGGAAGGGAAGTGGAGACTTGATGCATGGCAGATGAGGAACAGATTGGACATTTCTGTCAGCTGCCACCTTACACCTGCTTCTGTGCTTCACTACCATGCAGTGACGGTGACAGTCTGTCATGAACTCTGGGGAGGGTGGGTGGGAGGAAGAATGCTGGGGGAAAGCGAAAGTAATGGCTGTATCTCCCGGAGATGCTGCCTCAAGGTCATCCGGCTGGGAGAAGAAGGCAGCTGCATATCAACTCTTCTGAAAACATCTTGCTTGCGTCTGATTGGTCACAGTGGGTCAGCGATGGGAAGCAGTTAAGGGAGGCAAAAGTTGAACTTGGGGATTTGGGCTCGTCATTTTCAGTTCTGGCTATGCATGACTGCAATACGAGCCGTGGTGTCGCAGTGGTTAGAGTGCAGTACTGCAGGCTACTTCTGCTGACTGCCAACTGACTGCAATTTGGCGGTTCAAATCCCACCAGGCTCAAGGTTGACTCGGCCTTCCATCCTTCCGAGGTGGGTAAAATGAGGAACCCAGATTGTTGGGGGCAAGATGCTGATTCTGTAAACCGCTTAGAGAGGGCTGTAAAGAGCTGTGAAGCGGTATATAAGTCTAAATGCTACTGCTAATAGAACTATACCTCTCTCAACACATGGAGCCAAGGTTGGTTTCTATTTAGAGGGTTAAGTGCTGGCAGATCTGACAATTTCAGCCTTACCTCTAAGAAGAGGCATCAGTCTGGTCAGTCTGATCAGAAAGTCCAAAAAAAGGAGGAAACAACATCTCACAGAGTTCACCCCCTCCCATATTCTCAGTCATGAGTAAAGGTTAAGAGTACGCTTGCTTAGTTTTTCCCAAACCTCCTGACCTTCAATGCAAATTTTGAGGCTCGGCCTTCTCCCTCTTAAAACAATACTTGGCCACCGTGGTATGGGCAGATAAACCCAAGTTGTGTCTCCTTCTCCACCTCCTTGTTCATTCTTTCCCTTCTTAGAGTTTTGCACTTGACGATGTAAATGCAGGAATACTCAGGGCGGCTCTGCTTGAATCCAATCTGGTCCAGGCTGTCCCATTCATCATGTTGGCACTGGGAATTATTTGTGGAGCAGTGTTTCTGGCAGTCACCTATTGGCCCAAAGGGAAAAAAGAGGAGGTAAGGTTGTTTGTAGGTCTCCTTATTTCCCTGTTATTTTATTTTAAAAGCTTCCTTCCTTCCTTCCATCCATCCATCCATCCATCTTGTCCCTCCTTCCTACTTTCCTTCCTTTTCTTTCTCTCCCTCCTTCCCTTCCTCCCTTCCATCCATTCATCTTCCTTCTTTCCTTTTATCCATCCATTCATTCTGTCCCTCCTTCCTTCCTCCCTCCCTTCCGTCCTTTCCCTCCCTCCCTCCCTCCATTCCATTCATCCTCTTCCTTCCCTCCCTCCCTCCACCCATCAATCTATTCATCCTGTCTCTCCCTTCCTCCCTCCCTTCCGTCCTTTTCTTTCCCTCCCTCCCATCCATCCATCCATCCATCTATTCCTCTCCTTCCTTCCTTCCTCTCCTTCCTCTCCTTCCTTCCTTCCTTCCTTCCTTCCTTCCTTCCTTCCTTCCTTCCTTCCTTCCTTCCTTCCTTCCTTCCT